GTGACCGCCAGGGCCTGCACTGTGCCAGAAACGGGCACTGGGAGACGAGATGAGAGATGATTCGCCAGAATCAGTCTAGGGAGGGGCAAGCCTAGAACTCAAACCCAGATGTCAGCCCTGGGCAGCTGCACCTCTGAAAACCAGCCCCTCTGCACCTCCAGTCTGGGCGCCCCTCCAGGCGCTGTGGGTTCCTGCTGTCCCCGCAAGAGGATGGCCGGGCCCCCGGGTGACACGACCTCGTGTTGTTGAGGAGCCCCTTCCTGGTGTCCAGGTGCTCGGCCCGCCACGCCCTGCACACTGCAGGACTGTGGTGCCTGGGAGGCCTCAGCAGGCTGGGAGCCGAGTGGGCTGGGCAGTGCCAGGCAAGAGGACAGCAGGGGTGCAAGGCTCTGTCAGCGCAATGGTGAAGCTGCCCTGGTCCTGGCCCGGTGTGGATGGGGCAGCAGTGTCCTTCCAGGCCAGCAGGAGATGATGGACTCTCTCAGGGACGGCCTCACGGTAACATCAGCTCCTCTCCACGTGCTCCTCCCAGCTTCCCCAAATCAGACCTGTTTTCAGGAATCAGCTGATTTTAACTGAAATGTAAGCGCCTTCTCTCTGAGTCACACCTGCTGGCGCAGGCCTATAATCCCTGCCCTCTAGGAGGCTGAGCTGGGAGGCTGAGGCCAGCCTGGGCAGTCTGGCCACTCTGTGGCTGCTCCATCAGTGGCCCAGGGGCCAGCAGCAGCCGCCCAGGAGCTGCCTGGGAACACAAGCCCCTCACATCCCTGAGGAAAGGAAGCCACTGCCCTCCTAGACCCCACCCACACCCACCCATGGGAGGTACTGTTCAGCACCATTTTCTTCCCTCTTTCTTTTTTGATTCTTATTTGTTTTTACCAAAATGTGATATCACTGCTGAGTATGGTGGTGAATACCTGTAATCCCAGTACTCTTGGGAGGCTGAGGCAGGAGGATCCCTAAGAGTTCAAAGCCAGCATGGGCTACACAGTGAGTTCAAGATCAGCCTGAACTGCATAATGAGACCTTGTTTCAACAAGTAAACAAATTAAGACATGCTACCACTACATTGCCTAGGCTGGGCTCAAGTGACTCTCCTGCCTCAGCCTCTTGAGTGCTGAAATTATCAGCCTTTTGATAGTCTCTGAGCTGTAGAGAGCCAACATCTACTGAGTACTTTCTACACAGTCAGGCACGTGGAAACATTGCAGAAGCTTGCTTTCTTACTACTGTATGAATTTCATAGGTAAAGCAGCTGAGCTAAGGCGGATCAGTGCCTCACCCCAGAGCCATGCTTCAGACCCTGGGCCTCTGTGATCCCCAGCCTCTGTCCAGCCTCTCTGTCAGCCTGCTGGCTGGCACGGGGCCTCCGCCTCAGCAGAAACTAGTGGTGTGCTGATTCTTTGGGTCTCTGCTCCCCTGATGGGATCAGGATGGCACTTGGGAGAGGGGGTTCAAGTCCCCTGCTGCTCCGAAAGGTGCTAGTGGCCAAACAGAAGCCAGGCCATGGGGCGCTGGCAGGCTGAGCCCAGGTTCAGTGACCGTGGCCACCACTGACGCCCACCACTCACTAAATAGCAGAGAAAGAGCGAGAGGGAGGGGTGGGCGTCAAGGACAATGGGCTCTGACTCCGCCGCCCCAGACAGTTCCCTGGGTCACCACCCCACCTACAGTCAAAGCCTGCCAGGCCCCCATTGCTGCCTGCACCTGACGGAGCAGAAAGTCACCGTCTGGTGACATTGCAACTTGGTGGCGGGTGGAGCTGCACACACTGTGATTCCAGCTACCAGGGGAGCTGGTGCAGGACCATCACAAGTTCAAGCCCAGCCTGGCCACTTCGTAAGCCTCCTTCCTCAAAGATGAAAAGGATCTGAGGGGCTGGGGATGGAACGCAGTGCCAAGGCCTTGGGTTTGGTCTTCAGGGTGGAAAAGAAAAAGAAGGGGCAAATGTGCCAAGCCCAGGGAACCCAGAATCCACCGAGCTCCTGAATTAGCATTGGGGTCCAGCAGCCCTAGGGGGCTCAGCCCCATCCTCCTCAAGCCAGGCTCGGCTGAGAGGGTACAGAATGGGGACCCCAAAGCACATCCTAGCCCACAGGCAGGGGCTGCAAGGTGAGTCCTCAGACACTGTGTCCGGGCAGAGGGCACCTGAGGCCCCGGGGGTTGAAAGCTTGGGGGGGCCAGCTGCAGCCCAAGTCACTGAGTGTCCAGGTGGGGCTCCAGCCTGCAGTGCCGAGGCAGCTTCCTGGACCACAGGCGTGCGCTGCTGTGCCCAGCTCATCCAGTATGATGAGGTTTTATTCTGGATCAGCCTCGGCCTCACAGGAAGTGCTGAGGTACAAGGACAGCACCTTTGCCTCCTCCACCGCCTCTTCTAACGTGGTGCCTGCATTGTCACAGTGAAGAAACCAACACTGGTGTGGTGCTGCGGCCAAGCCGAAGACTTCTCAAGGCTTCATCCTCGGTAACGCGCCTCTTCCCTTCCAGGATGCCATGGGCACTGAGGACTTGGCCGGGTCCACGGCTCCCTCCCGGCTCTGACACGGGGGCCAGAAGCCTGCATGCTAAGTGAAGGCGTGCTGTGTGACTTTGGGCTGAGCCGTCACCCCTCAAGATATCACCCCACAAGATGACTGCAGCCCAGATGATCAAAGAAGCACTTGAGCCCGGCAGCTCAAACATGATAGCTCAAACATGAGATCCCAGCACTCAGGAGGCTGAGGCAGGAAGGTCGCCACAAGGTGAAGGCCAGCCTGAGCTACATAGTGAGTTCAAAGCCAACCTAAGCTACATCATGAGATTCTGTTTCAAAAAACCAAGGGAGACTATATATAGGCAAAGGAACTGTGCATGATGGTGCACACCTGTAACCTTAGCACTTGAGAGGTTGAGGCAGGACTGTACATTCAAGGCCAGTCTGGACAGTTTAGTGAGACCCTGTCTCAAAATAAAAAATAAGAAAGCCTTGGGAAATAGCTCTGTGCAAAGGCCCTGAATTCAATCCCTGATGCCACCACACAGAAAATGAGCCAACGGGAAGCAGGCAGACTGCTTGTTCACACAGTGAGATGGTGAAGGGCTTTGGGCTGGACCTCTGGTCTCGAGATCTCCACCTCTGTGGTCTTGTCTCTGAATGGAGGCACAGGATTGGGCTGAAGAGTATGCAGCCACCTGCCTGTCCCTACATGCTATGCCCCCCATGACTCACCCACCCACCAGCCGCCCCCCTGCCCACCTGTCCGTGCTGGCATCTGACACTCTACATGGTAGGCACTTTGCTGGACGCTGGGGAGCAGGGGGAAACATGGTCCCTCACCTCATGGAGCTTTCTTCCAGCCCCATAGGGCTGGGTCTCGGTCATCTGTTGCCCAGAAGTCTACCAATGTCTGGCACAGAGTAGGTACATGGTCAATGTTTGTTGAATGACTACTGGACTTCCATTTGGGTCATGTGTCTGCCCTTTCAACTGATGTACTGGGTAATTTTGAGGACAATAATGGAGCCAAAGCTCCATATTTGTGCTTGTCACTTGCTCGTCACCCTTAGGAGAAAACCGTGAGGATGTTGACAGAACACAACTCGGAGTCCGGAGACCCAGGACCACATCTGTGCTCTGACCTGCTTGTTCCTGGATGGCTGCAAGACAGCTGAGTCTTGGTTTTCTCAACTGTGAAATGGGGACAGTCATTAGACCTAGCCTACCCGGCTCCTGCGCATAAAGGACAAACCTGTGGGAAGAATGTGAATAAAAACTCGAAGACAAAACTCCTGGGCGGCACCCTGAGGTGTTGCTCGAATGATTCCTCAAACACCGCCTTTGCCCAGCCTGAGAGAGAATAAGGGCTGGGCTCTGTCCCCCCAGCTGTGACCAGTGGTCTCAGCCGCCCTGGGCGCGCCCAGCCTCGGGAGGAGTGGACTTCCCAGGGCCATGACACTGCGTGTCTCCCCCGTCCTGGCTCAGCTGCTGTCCTCTCGGTTCATGTGACAACAGGACACAGCAGTGTCGTAACCCTAATTGCTTGCAGAGTGTTTTGAAATCCAGAGTTCCACGGAGTCCAAAGTATTCAAATTCATGTTCCGAGTTCTGCCCAGCTGCTCTGAGCACAGGGATCCCGGCCCAGTGCACAACACTCACCCTGGAGCATCTGTCTGAGGTCCGGTCCCAGAGGTGCAGCCCTTCTGCCCCACACAAGGCCCATCAGGAGGTCACAGGCTGTTTTGCCTGGGTCCCGCCGAGGCTCCACAAGAACCCAGGGCCATGACTATGCTCAGTCTGATTTCTAGATTTAGGTTAGAAACTGTCCCTGTGGTTACAAAGGGCACAGGTGTCAGCAGGGCTGTACAGGGCAGGAGGGAGGGCCAAGCTCCACCCTGCTGACCGCCGGTGCTGCCTGTGAACTCCCTGAGAACAGGCTGACCTCGTGCATGCAGAGATTCTACAGGAATAACGAAGCGGAGAACCTGGCTATCTCTGTGGTTCAGATCAACGTTGCTTAGGCAGAGTTTCCTTGTGTTCACTTCTTTTACCCTGATGGGAAGCTGGGCTCTCAGCAGAGGGTCCTAAGAGGTTCCTGAACCTCCAGGAAGAAGCAAAACTCCATTTGATATTCCTGAGTGTTTCTAACTTTTGGTACATTCTCAAAGGTTCCTGCTCCATGGACTGAAATCCAAAAGGGTGAGACCTTGTCTCAAAAAAAAAAAAAATAAGTGTGGTAGTACACACCTGTAACCCCAGTACCCCAGCACTCAGGAGGCTGAGGCAGGAGCAGTCCAAGGCCAACCTGTACCACACAGTAAGACCCTGTCTCAAAAATAAGGGGGGGGGGGTAAAACCCAGGAATCTCACAGCCCAGGCTCCTTGATAACCCCTCCCAGCACCCCCCACTCAGGCCAGCCGCAGTCCCCACCAGGCAAAGGAGCTCCCCCTGCCCACTGATGTGCAGAGAGGGCTGCATTCAAATCTGTCAGAGCTCCAAGCCCCAAAGAAGCCACCACACCTCTGTACGAAACAAGGTTTATTAAAACTCTACAGGCGGCGGCAGCTGCCTCGCCGCCCACCACACACGCACGGAAGGATCTAGTGTTTCTCACTGTCCTGGCAGGAGCCCTGCCAGCCCAGACGCTCCGGCTGGGTAATGTATCACAGATACAAGAGTCAACAACCACGAGCCGTGAGGGGACACAGCCCGTCCCTCGCCCCAAGTCCCATGATTCTACGCGGCACTATCGCCGACTTCGTTCACATTTCACGTGGCTTTACACACGCAGGTTATCAGACAGACACAGACACAGACACCGAACACGCCTGGAGCCACACGCGACAACACGTCAGACACCGGTAGAAAAGGTAAAGGTCTGTACAGAGCACACGGCACGTGAGGTATACACGGCATTCTCAGCGCGGGCAGTAGTCTGCCGAGGCGTAGCCCTTAGAGACGCCTGCCTGGTTTTGTGCCATTTCTCAGAACACAGTGTGTTCCGTTTACCCGTTTAACCACCCTATCTCAGCACTGCCCGTCGGTTTCCGATGCAAGCTGCAGTCTCCCCATGAAGCTCTGCCTTTGCAGGGAGTGGGTTTTCGGTCTGGAAGCACTGGATCGAAGCCAGATGCACACTGCCAAAGCAGCTGGGGGGGTGGGGAGGAGCCGGGGGGAGCGGTCAGGTCAGATGATTTGCCAAGTCCAAAGTGACTGGGGGTATCTGGGGCTCGCCACGCCCCCCAGAAGCCAACTGTGCAGATATCCTCACAAACCACAGCACGTCGTGCAAACCTCGGCTGTGCACATGCAGCCAGCTTGGCCATGCGGCCACAGGACCACCGTGCCGCATGTAAGTCAGCCTGAGGGTCTCCTGAGAGCCCGGATTACGCTTGCTCCTGAGAGACAGGGATGAGAAGTCTCCTTCCCCATTTCCTCCCAGACAAAATGCCCCACTTAAGATGTCTCAGGGAAAGAAAGAACAGGACCAAATGCCAGTGAATTCAAAGGGAGCACAAAAAGCTGACCCTCTCAAGTCATTGAATTAGTCTTAAGGAACAAATTGAGCTCAGGATTCCAAAGCAGCCAGTTCATCTCTGTCGGCGGTTTCCCGGCTAGCTGGGCCAGGACCCAGGGCGGGGAGGCACTATTGCATAGGTGTCTCGGCAGGGCGCAGTTTGGGCTGAGGCAGACTCCTGAGCTCCTCAGGCTGCTCCCACAGTGGAGCAGAGGCATTGGTAAAGATGAGTGTGCAGTAAAGGTGAGTGTTAAACCACAAGAACTTTCCGATTAGAGAAACCGAGGTAGCAGGTCCAGCTACCAAAGATGAGTCTGGAGATGGCAAGTTTATTGGCCTGAGTTATTTGTCATCCTGTTAAAATAGTTGCTGCCCAAAATACCACTGTGCAATCTGCTTCCTTTCCTGCTCAGACCGGCATTCGTGACATCTGAACACAGGGTGGGTTGCCCACATTCTCTGCCAACTTCAAGACTTGCAGAAGCCTCAAATCCGGCCAAGGGAGAGCTGGTGACAGTTTAAGAAGGGGAACAGCGCCACGGCACGCCCAGGCAGAGTGGATTCCGCTTGGACCAAGTCACTCATCCCAACCACAAAGAGAGTGCCACGCAGAGCCCTGCAGCAGCCGTCGGGAAGCGGGCATCTCTCTGGGCAGCACCACGCTGGCAGGCCTGCCTGTCTTCAGAAATGCAAATGCCATGTGTGAGAATTGTGAGGTTTCTGAGGTTTCTGGGATTAGCAAAAGAAGGAACTAATGTCACTGTCCTCCCGGTACTCTGGAACAATCTGGTCTGAAGTTCCCATTTCTGAGTCAATGTACCCAGGTTCCAAGGCAGACGAGAACCAGGGATGGAGTAGGATCTCGGGAGCAGTGAGTCTCTCGGAAGGCTCTCGTCTCAGGAGGTTGCGAATGAGGCACCTAGCTTTGGGGGAGATGTGGTCGGGAATGCAGAACTGTCCCCGGCGGATTTTGGAGAAAAGGGCACTAGGGTCTGAGTCATGGAAGGGGTATCGCCCCACCAAGAGGGTGTAGAGCATCACGCCCAGGCTCCAAACGTCCGCGGCCTTCCCAGAGTAGGTCCCCGTGGTGTTGAGAATCTCGGGGCTCACGTAGGCCGGGCAGCCGTGTTTGTCTGACAAAGCATCATCTTCGCCCTTGATTATGTGTGTATCTTCCAGGCTTTCCAGTCGGAGCTGGGTTCTGCAGAAGAGAAGAATCGGGCTGTTACATCCAGACCAGATCTCAGGATGGTGAGGCGGTGGCCCCCACCTGCATCCCAGCTATCTCGAAGCCCAGCCTGGACAACTGAGCAAGACCATGGCTCAGGGGCAGAGTGTTTGCCTCGGCTGGAGGAGGCCCTGGGCTCAATCCCCAGTCCCACAGAACACAAGTAACACCCCCGAAGCCAGCGCCCAGAGGCACTCACAGCAGGGTCAGGGTCAGGGTCAAGAATGCCATTTATCCCTTCTCCAGTAACTCAATTTCACACACCAGTATTGACTGCACTGAGTGGCTCAGAGGACCTAGAGAGCGCCTGGGGTGAGGGTGTGATGTAGAGTCCCAAAAGTAGTCATGATGCTCAGGCTTGTGAGAAACCCCTCAGGTTACATGACTGGCCAAGTTCATACTGCAAATCTGGAGCTTGCCTCCTGAGAATGCTGACATTTTCTTTTTTTTTTTTTTGTCTTTTTCCTTTTTATCGGTACCGGGGATCGAACTCACGACCACCTGCTTGCAAGGCAGGCGCTTATGCCACTGAGCTAAACCCCCAGCCCCTATGAATGCTGACATTTTCCACAAAAGCTGTCAGGGAACAAAGAGGACAGGGGCGACCTGTTCCCGGGATAGTGAGTGCTACGGCCGCTTGGACACATGCTTTACATTACAGAGCACAGAGCCTGAGGTCACTGTTAGTGTGCGCAGGTCACTAGCACTCTACCCACACTGACACACACACACACACACACACACACACACACACACACACACACTCGAGGCACCTCGGTCCCAGGAGGGGCAAGCTACAAGGGATGCCAATTAATTACCCGGGTGTTCAACTGCTAAGTACACTTAGCCTGGACAGGCAGGAGACTGCAAAACTTCCACCCAAGCACACATGCCCCGTGGCATGGCACATGAATGCCCAAGTGTGTGTGCCCTGGGGAGGGCTCTGTGCTGATGACAACTATGCTCTGAAAATTCTTTAGTCACAGGCTCCCTTATCCCTCATGAGCTGCAGGTGACTCAGAGTCTCCGCATTCAGAGCCGGCCACGCAGGTTTCCAGAGCCCCCAGAGCTGCAGCCAGGCCAGGAGGTTCACATGGCCTCCCCTTGCCTCGCTTCTCGGCAGCAGCTCTGCTTCTGGAAGCCACTTGCTGTGCAGTAAAAGGCACACAGTTGGCAGGAGCTGATGGGTCAATTCCTTTTCCTCTAAAAGGTCTGGGTGGTTTTTTTTGTCCTTCCTGCCTTCCCCTTCCCTGGAGTGTAGCACACATGTGCTAACTTCAGTGTGTCCTCACCATGACCTCCCTGTCGTTATGTAAAATACCCATTGGTTCTGAAAACGGAAAATATGACTCAACGCACACTGGCCGCCCCTGATTGGCTGCTGGAGCACTAAACCCCGCACCTGTCAGCCTGCCATTGCTTAACCCCCGGGTTGCCAAAGCAGTACGTGACACCGGCCTGTGCAATGCACATTTCAAAAGCTGGTCGAGAGGTGTGGAAGGCATGTTTCAGAAAAACGCATCGATGTACTTACTGAAGGAACACAGTTCCAGAAACTGGACACTTCTTCATTGCACAGTTTGCTTTTCTTTGCTAATCAGTATGTTTCAATCATTACTTCAAGGTCAGACACAGAGTCACACAATGGCAATTAAGCCTGTACTTTGCAGGGTGTTTTGGAGTTAAAGGTAAAAGTGTTGGGGTGGAATAAGCCCCGCGGGAATACCTAACACCTGCCCCCTGCCTCTGAAATTCTAGAGCGCTGCTGCTGTCAGTCTTTCCACAAGACACATCTGCATCTTAAAGTCAGGTACGGCCTATCTCGTGTGGCTTCCTGCATTTTCCTGTCTGAAGCCTCCACTTTGAATCTTAACGTCTCGTTATTCTCTTACCATCTCATCTTGCCCTTTATGAGGTAAGCCATGATCTATATTTAGCAATCAACTGTAGCCAACTTCTGTTTACTATTCAATGTGGCTATTTTCTGAAGATGTGGCCAACAAGATATCTAAGAAGTCACCAGACAAAGTGGAGAAAGCAGAGGGCACCTAGCCTGAGACACAGGCGCACTGCTGTGTGGAGGCAGAACTCTGCAAATGTGAGGCACCCAACCAGCTGTCACCATCCAGGCCTCACGACATTCCTCCGAGTCCCAGGTCAGTCCCACCGTTAAAGGCCAAGTTCACATCTCCACACAGAGCTGACCTTTCTGGCAATGGGAATGACCTTTCCCATCCAGGGGTGCACGTGGGAAGGGCATCCTGTCCACAAGAAGCCACAGAAGCATGGAGGGTCCCCAGGATCCCCTCAAGACAGTACAGAATAGACCAACCTTGGTGGTGACTTCTCAAGAGCAGGACTTCCGGATGCTAACTCCGGGAGCCGCCGTAGCAACGGCCAACTGCGTGCCCTGCACCCATGTTTTGGTTCCAGAAGGCCACGAGAGGAGCTGTGGTGGCCACTCACCTCTCCTCTGTGGAGAAGACAAACTTCCTCAGCTTCAGGTCCCCCAGCACGATGGCAGACTGGTGGCAGTGCGCAACAGCTGAGACGATCTGCTTGAACAGCCGAGCGGCCTCCTCTTCCCGCAGCCTCTTCCGGCTTCGCACGTAGGAGTGCATGTCCCCAAAGTCCTTCTCAAAGAAGACATAGGCCTTGGTCTCCCCCAGGATCACCTCCATGATCCCAGTGATGTTACTGTGCGAAGGCAGCTGGATATACGGCCTGATTTTATCCTGGTAGTGTTTAATGGGGAATACCTGGAGAGAGAAGGCAACCTGTTTAGGGGGCTAGAAAAGCAGGTGCTGCCTGCAAGGCCCTGAAGAACTGGCTGACTCTCAGCCTCTGGGCTCTGAATGACAGCAGGCTCCGTTCATTCATTCCCGTGCCCTCGCTGCCTCAGCCTATGCAGCCTTAGCTGCATGGAAGCCAGGCACACCCCCCACGGGTCGATCCATCTATGTGGGTGGCTTAAAGGGCCATCTTCCCTGTATGCTTCTGTCTTCCATGGGAAGAGTCCCCAAAATTCCTGCTCTGTGCCCCCTCCATATTTTAGAGGATGAGTGGCAGGCACCGCAGCACCTCCAGGGGTTCAAGGGCAGTCCCCAAGCATGCATGTGTCTCCTGCACACCCGCAGGGCTGGTCACAGGGGAGGCACAGAATGTGGTGACTCTGCAGCCTCCAAGGGGAAGCAGAGGCCACAGAACATGCCTAACTATCATTAGTCAGAAGGAACAGATGACTTGGAAGGAGACTGTGACAGCGCAGACTTAAGCAACCTGCCTACAGTTGTGACTCAGGTGTCAGCAGCCCGAGTTCCACTCTCCCAGGAGGGGAGGGTCCTGAGAATGGGTTCCTGTGAATGGGCTTTTTCATCTGGGTATCCCCACACTGGCCAAGGGACACACCCTGCCCCCTGAACAGAGTGCATCTCCCCAGAGGAGGTGGCTGGTCTCTTTAAGGGCCTTTGTTCAGTCCAGTTACTCATATCCTAGCCTCAACTGGAAATGGTGACACACGGGCTGTCACCATCTGGATTCAGCTATTATCTGCTCACAGGAACTGGAAGGGATTGCACAATGACTAGATCCACCCCACCTCCGAGGTGGCAGCTCTGGCACCAACTGGAAAGATCTCTCTGCTGTTCCCTGCTCCTGCCCTGCCCAGGTCTCCCCAAACAGCTCTCAGCGACAGTGCCCGCCCCAGTTCCCAAAGAAAAAAGAAGCCCCCCCCCCACACACACACACAGAGGCAAACTGGGCTGGAGCGTACACTTGAAATTTCACATGGGTAGACAGTAGGTGGCAGCAGCAAACCCAGGGGGAGTTTGTGGGGTGTCAGGTGAGTTTCGGGAAACCCAGGAGCAACTTTAACTCCAGGGATGGAAAAGAGCAGCCCGGGGTTCTGGGGTGCCTGAGTCAGGTTCTCAGAGCGAAGACAGGGAGCGGGCTGCGTCCACGCGTGCTGTCGTGGGGTAGTCCCCCCCACCAACCTGGTGGATCCTGCTTCTAGGAGTTGGTTCCACCTCCTCCTCCGGGATTGGAACCCTTCTGCGCCAAAAAAAAAAAAAAGGCGCTGCCCCGGAAACAGTGAATGGAAGCAAAAGCTCCTCAGCTTGTGGGCTTTCCAACATTTTTACTCGGGCCAAATTCCCAGCCTCTGCTGCAAGTCTCCCTAGGACTGCTCCGACTGCTCCGAGTGCGGGCGGGGTTCCCACCCCAACGGCGGTTCAAGTGGGAATCGCCGGGTCAGGAGCCAGACCTGGCCTTCACCACCTACAGCCGAGCTGGCGAACCCCCCCCCCGCCCCGCCCCGGCCTCAGCCGCCAGCTGCTCCACGCTCCTTCTCCTCCAGGGGGGTGAGGGAAGGGGAAGGGAAATGGCACTGCCCTGGGATCCATCTCCACTCCACAACTTCCACGGACGCCATGCGCTAGGAAAACGGACTCGAGAGGGCTGCGGAGCTGGCCAGGTCCTCCAGACCGCAGAGTCCCCTGGACCCCTCTCCACAGGAAACCCTTCGGGCTCCCCACGGGCCACACTCACCAGGGCCAGCCTCGACACGCTTTCATCCACCCCGCCCCGAACTCAAGCGTCGGCGGAGCTGTGCGCGCTCTTGGGGGGGACCCCAAGTCCGTCGGCTGATCACCCCAGCCCCGACCCCGGCCCCGACCCCAGGACGCCTACCTTGCAGCGCAGCTCGCGGCCAGTGTGAACGCACAGTGCCCGGGACACATGCTCGCGCTCGGCCAGGGGCAGCAGCAGGTAGTCCGCGATGCGGCTGGGCCCCGGTACGCTTCCGGAGCCTCCGCCAACCCCCGGCGCGGCGGGTGGGGGCTGCGGGCTACAGGGCGAGCCGGGGGGGCTGAGGTAGTCCGGGGGGCTCGAGCACTCGGAGAGGCGCGGGCATTTGGCCGCCACGGCCGCCGTGTCGTCCGCGTCCAGCAGGCGCTTGGCCGGGGTGCCCCGGGCGGCCGGGAGCAGCAGAGCTGGACTGCGGGGTTGCGAGGCACTGCTCATGGCGAAGCGCACGGGACCGACCCGCATTGCGTCCCCGGCCGGGGCGGCCCCGGCTTTGTACGTCCCGGGATCCGCGAGGGAAGACGCTGCGGGTTTGGTACCGGCGCCGAGACTTCGTCCAGTCCGCTGGATGGAGTTTGCAGACAGTCTTCCTCGGCCCCCGCCAGGGGCAATGCCGGAGCCGGTCCTCGGCGCTTGCCTTGCACGCAGGGACCTCGCTGCCGGCGCGCCCGAAGGTCGGACACAGGCTCAGGGTCCAGGACCCCGGCTAGCACCGGCTCGGGGCGCCTCCTGGGGGGCGGCCGCCGCTATTGTTGTCGACGGCCCCGGCGACGGAGGCGGCCTGCGTTCCCAGGGTCCGGAGCCGCGAGGTCGGAATTCCGCAGGCTCGGCGGAGCCAGTGCACTTCCTAAAGCAGTTCCGAGTACGAGCCGGAGCAAACTTTTCCGCGGCGTCCGGGATCCCTGCGAGCTCCTGAGCTCCCGGGCGGGCGTGCGATCTGGCGAGACGCGCTCGGAGAGAGTGACTGGAGCGAGTGAGTGTGTGCGCCGCACTGATCCCGGCCAGTGCACTCCTCCTTCTCCTTTTCCTCCACCTCCTCCGCCTCCCGGTGACTCACGCTGTATACACACACACACTCACAGGCCGGGCTGTGTAAACAGTTGGGAAGCCGGGTTGTGCAATGAGGTGGCTGCGACGACTCTGGCCCCGCCGCCCGGGTAGCAGTCACCGGAGCGGAGGGCGGGGACCAGGGGGAGGGGAGGCGGAGCGGAGGCTGGGGGCTGGGGCTGCACGGGGCGGCGCGCGCCCGGGCGCAGGTGGTGCGTCCCGGGCCGCCCAGGGCGCGCACACGCCCCCCAGGCAGGGCTGGGCAGGAGGAGCGCGCGCCCGCCCGCAGGCCCCGGGCTCCGCGCTGGCAGCCGAAGGAGGGGGCGGAGGAAAAGTTCCCGTGACGTCAGGGTCCCGGGGAAGTAGGCGGGTGAGGCGGGGCCGCGAGGGGCGACGGAAGCGCTGATTGGTGCGCGCGCCTCATTCACTGCAACACAATGAGCTGCGGGCACGAGGCGGGCTCGCGCCGCGGGTTCTCCGCGCCCGCCGCTCGCCACCGCCGGCCTCGGAGACCTTTCGCCTGGGGCATTTTGCCGTTGCTCCGCGGCGGGTAGCTCCGCATGGAGCCGTGGGCGCCGCCGGAGCTCGCCTGCAGCCCGAGGAGGGGGGTGAGAGGGCAGGTGATAAATTCCAGAATCAGTCATTCACCCCCACGCGGTAGTTCCGGGGAAGACCTGTGCGTGGTAGTGGATGTGGCTTTTTTTTCCTTTTCCTGCCCCCTCCCAGCTCTAATCCTCAGCGTCTGTTCGCTTCCACAAATAGAACCTTCTGTTGGATGAAATAAAAGCAAACACAGGGCCTTCTGCGCTGCCTCCACCTCCACGCCCCTCCCGCGCCTGCCGCCCGTCCGGATTGCACGGAAATAGCTTCTCCAGCTCCTGGGCCGCCCCTTCGCGGTGACTCGCAGAAAGAGCTTCCTGAGCCAGGGCTGGTGGGAACAAAGGATGTGGGGAGCGGGCGGAAGGGGCCCACGTGGCCGCCGCAGAATTCCTACCCCTTCCCAGCCCCTGCACGCGCCGGGGAGTCTAGGGCAGGGTGCGGCCTGGGTAGGGGTTGGGGGCCCGGAGTGGAAGTCCCTTCAGCCACTGAGGGATGCTGTCCGCACCCCAGCCTTGCCAGGCCTGTGCACGTGTATTTACGCAATGAGAGCATACGAGGTGTGCTTCACGCAGAGCTCTGGGCACACACTTTGGAATCCGTTGTTTTTCTTTCTTTAGAGAACCAGGTCAGTTTGGAGTCCCTGGGCACCCAACATAAATTCCTGTTACAAAATTTTGCCATGCACTTCTGCTAAATACTTAATTTTTAAAAACCAGGCCAAGCCCCAAGAATAAATCGCTTTCCTTATTAATTCTCCATTCAACAAATGCTAATTAAGCATCATCGAAGGGCCAGGCGTTGGGGATTAGAGTGTGAAAAATCGAAACCGTAAAAATAGCACCATCAGAGGCCTCCAGTGCCCCATTCTCTGCACTTACTTTGTTGCTTCAGTTTTACAATCATCCTGGGGGGATGAAGCTTGAAAAGATTGCATTCTATGCTGGGGCTGAGCAGCCCATGCAGAGGAGTGGAGAGGAGGGAGGCCTGGGCCTGGAAGGCAGCACCCCAGCACCCGGCCTGGGACTGTGGGACCATGGGAGTCGATGCGGGTCTGATTGGTGGGTGGCCACGAATGAGTCCTAGGAAGATGGGTTGGGTGTGCACTGTGCTGGGCAGTCCTGCACACACCTGTGCCCAGGAGAGAGCCCACCTGAGGTTTTCTGCATTTCCAGAGTTGTGGTGCCACAGTCTAAGAGCCCCTGTGCTGGCTGCTGGGCCCCAACCCTGGAACAGGAGGCCCCAGCCTGGCCCCGAGGGTCTGTCTCAGCTAATTCTAGGACACAACACCTTGAGCACCCAGCTGCGGAGGCCAGGACCCCTACAATCTGCTGCTTCCCCTCAGGCCCAGCGCCAGCACCCTGCCTTCCCTGCCCAGGACTAGCCCTTGACAGACTGTCCTGTGTTCTCTCACCCACAGCCGGGCTTCCCCAGTGGCAGAACCTGGAGGCACAGGTGCCTGTGAACCACGGGAGGCAGAGCGGTCAGGCTGTGTCTGCTCTCCTGTCTGCAGGGATGTGGCCCACCTTGCCGGTTCAGTCGGTATGGTGAAAGCTTGGGGCTGTAGCTCAGGAGCTGAGGTGCCCCACTAGCTTGCAGAAGGCCCTGGGGTCCAGGCCCAGCTTTGGGGAGGACTGGAAATGCTCTCCCTCCAACCCTGGATGTCTTGGGGCCTCTTGCCCAGCTACACCACCTCTGAAAGCCTCCCAATAAAAGCCTGTTGATGCTGCTGTCCAGCTCAGACTGTGCTTTTGGGGAACCCAACCTGTGGCACCCCTTCTTCCTCTTTGTAGTCCTGTTGCACACCAGGGACTCTGGCTTCTGGGATCAGGTGATGCCACTTGTCCTGCAGCACTCAGTGGCAGCAGCTTCCTATACTGCTAATCCCCGAGTCATCCCCAATGCCACACTGGCTTCTTGTTTCTGCTCTTCCCATACCTTTTCGGCCAGCTCCCCAGGCTAAACTCTTGCCCCTAAGCTTTCGGACCTGGGTTCCCTGCATCCATCGCACTCTCTGCTCCCCTGGTCTGAGGCCAGGGCTGTGCCCAGTCCCCGCGATCCCCACTGAGAGGTCCCAGGTCACTCACCCACCCTCAGCAAGCACCACCTCTGTGCCCGTGTTCCTACTAAGCACTAGGACCACAGTAGTGCACAAGGCAAAACCCTCCTCTGAGTTGCTTTCCTAGAATTTGCATTTGATCACATCAGGCTCGGGCTAAAACCCTGCAGGAACCCCCAGATAAAATCTGGATAGCCCAGTGTAACAAAATAAGCTCTTCTCTGGGTTCCGGCTTCCCCTCCTAGCCTCACCCTCCTCACTCCTGGGCTTTGCCTTTACCCTGCCTGTCCCTGGCAGGGCCCAAGTCACATCTGCCACCACATTGTCCTCCCACTGGAGTCCCCTTCCCTATCCTACCAATCTAACAAACTCTTACTCACTCTTCAAAACACCACCGTGATTGCCCCAGCCCCTACACACAAATGTAAACGTCCTGCTGGGTGAAGTCAAGTCTCTCTCTGCGCCTCCCTCCTTCCACCACACTATTGGAGGAGGGCAGGGTTGGTAGCTCGTGCAATGTCCAGCTTCCAGCCTGGTATCTGATATAAAAGTGGAGCTTGTCGAGTGTCCACTGAACACAGGTACTGTGGTGCAAAGGGTCACTCACAGGACAGCCTGAAAGAAGAGACAGGAAAGCCAGCCTACAGGCAAAGGCAGGGCTGGCGTAAGTAGTTCACCGGGAGAGGGATCCGGCTCTGCATGCCCAGCTCTGCATGCTGGGAGGAGACACACGGGGCCCCCAGAGGGCCTGAGAAGAGGCGACCAGGGCCCAGTGGGCTCCAAGCAGAGCTTCCCTGAGGGTGAGATCGGAACCGCACTCAGGTCAGACTTCACAGATTGAGAAGCCAGCGTTCCCGCTACAGGAAGAGCTATTGAACCTCAGCTGCATCACCTGTAAAATGGGCATGATACAGACCGGCTGTTCCTCCCCAGTTTTTGGTTTTTTTCTTAACTAAGGGCAGAGTGTTGAGACAAGGTCTCACTAGGTAACTCAGGCTTGGCCCTGAACTCTTTTAGCACAGGCCAGCCTCAAATATGTGCTGATCTCCTGCCTCAGCCTCCGACTACTAGGATCACAGACATGCAGTGCCACGCCTGACACCAAGTACGAAATCTGGGAAGTACCTTGGATTCTCCCCCCAGACCAGATGAGAGATTATCAGGTGTGGCTGTGCCACGACTGGGAACAGTGTTCATGAAAGGCTTGCAGAGGCCTTGGTGATGGAAACCCCCTTGACAAACACATAAGTAGGATCTTGAGGAAGTAGGTCTCCCCGTGTGCAAGGGTTGGCTGCTTCTGGAGGAGTCTGCCACAATGCCGTGGGCCCAGGCGGGACCCAAGCCGCGTGGCGAGGAGGGCAGCCTGCGTGCTGTGTGTGTGCGCGCGCGCGTGCTCGCATGCGTGCACGCGCCCCCTGCAGCCTCGGCTGTGTGGAGCTGACACCGGATGTTTCTACGCTGAGTTGGGGAAAAAGATTGGTCCACCTCCAACTTTTTAGGAACCGGTGCATTGTGTAACATAGGAAACCTGTACCGATGGTCCTGGGTAAGGCTGGGCTGCTGCTGAGCTTAGGTTTGATTCACCCTGGTTCATGCCAAGAAGGTTCTGCAGCAACACTGGAGGTTCTGTGTTCCCTTCAGGTGGGAGGAATTCTCAGGACCAGTGGGGTGATCATCCTCCTCCTCCTCCTCCTCCTCCTCCTCCTCCTCCTCCTCCTCCTTCTTCTTCTTCTTCTTCTTCTTCTTCTTCTTCTCCTCCTCCTCTCCCCCCTCCCCCTCCCCCTCCTCCTTTCCCCTCCTCCTCCTCATCTTCCTTTTCCTCTTCCTCTTCTTCCTCCTCCTCCTCCTCCTCCTCCTCCTCCTCCTCCTCCTCTTCCTCCTCTTCTTTCCTTTTAGTCCTGGGGATCGACCCTAAGCCCTTCACACTACCTATATCCCCAACACTTTAAACAATTTTTAAAGTTTAAAACAGGGTCTGGCTAACTTAGGGCTCCAATTTACCATCCTCCTGCCCCAGCCTCCCAGAGTGCTGGGATTACAGCATGTACCACGGAGCTCCTAACCTCTCTTACCTCATCTATTTGGAAGATGGCGAAGTTGGAAGTGAAGCCCGCCTGGAGGGCTGCTAGCCATGCTCTTGCTCCTTTATGCACCTCCGGGATCTGCTGATGAAGAGAAATTGCGTGAACCCCACACTGCAGGAGGAGAGCAGGAGGAGAGCTCCCCTGGGCCTTCCCTGTCACCTCCGGGCTCGGCGTGAGAGGACAAACAGGCTTGTGGTCCTCGGCCTCTTTCCCCTTCTCTTCACCTTCTCCTCAGCTTCGGCCTCCGGCACACAGGGCCCCTGGCACCCACAAACGTCCCGGCTGACTTCCCTGAAC